TGTCAGGTGCCCCAAAACCCCTGTGTTTAAACCAGGGGTGCCAAACATACGGCCTGCGGGCCAAATCCGGCCTGTTTGATTAGTTTGAAAATAAAAAAAAATACACAAACACTTCATGTTCAGGAAATGTTTTGTAAAAATTATAGTCCATTAAATATATATTTTTTCCATGAAAACAAAAAGAAAAAAAAACAGACTTTTTGTTAATTATAGGTAATTATGTTATGATTGTTCTGCTGCTTGACATCTGATTATGTTGTATCTTGAACCAAAATGTGTTTGACACCCTTGATTTAATCAGTCTATTAATTCTGGTAAATTATTAGTTATCTAAATGTTCCCTTGCAACATTAAAAAAAAACCATATGTACAGTATATATGTATATATTTGTATGTATGTATGTATATATCTATATATATGTATGTATATATGTATATATGTGTATATATATATATATATGTATGTATATATAAAATAAATGACGGTTGAGACTGTAATTGGACACTCAGAGTAATTGTATTAGAGAGAGAGCACTTACTCTAATCAAACCAAAACAGGACTTGGCTGTTAGCTCAAACCACCATAACCACATAGCACTGTCATTATAATTCCCTGAAGTCACAGTGTCAGTAGTTCACTGATGTCTGGATGTTGTTGAAGTTGAACTCGGTCAGGCTTCTATTGAGCTAATCACACACAGTGTCAGATCACATTCACTTTGACATACTTCACATTTCTTTTAACGCTTAATCCCATTAAGATTTTAGGTAGAGGAAATGCAGCCAATCCCAGCAGTCAGAGGTCAAGGGTCGGGCACCAGGCACCACCTGAACTGTTCACTAGTCACTAGTCTTTTGGCTTTTGATGATTTTACAAAAAAAAAAAAGAAACATCCAAATCCAAAAATTGTGATTCTATGGTCAATTTGTATTTTTTTGTATACCAGACATGGGCAAACTAAGGTCTGGGGGCCGGATGCAGCCCGTTCAGCTTTTAAATCCGGCCCGCCAAATATATAATTTATTTATATCGTCATTATACTTCTGCCTTTTCCCTGCCATACCCTGGTTTTTCCAAAAGATGGCGTAGAAAATTTAAAAATAAATTGCCTTAATGCATGATTTTTACATGTCATTTATCTTTAGTTCAAACGAACGCCCCATCTTTCTGCTCCAAAGTATTTGTCCTTTTAGATGGGGGTAACACAAAGTCAATTTTCACCAAACCAACACAATAAAAACACTAATAAATTATTAAGATTTTTTTTTCTTCATTATTTTTGTAAGCTTTGTCAGATATCACTGTTCTCCACCTTGTCTTATATTTCTGTGTCCTCCACAGCCATCCTGTTCGCAGTGTCAGTGTTCGGCCCCGCCATCGGCTTCCTGATGGGTTCGGCCATCCTGCGGATCTATGTGGACGTGGACAAGATCGGTCTAGGTAACCATCAGGCCGCCACACACTTGTTAGCACCTTGAACGCCTGACGATCTTTCCAGTGACTCCGTTTTCACACGGCGGTTTTCCTGCAGGGGCCGAACACGAGCTGAAACCTGGAGACTCCCGCTGGGTGGGGGCCTGGTGGATTGGTCTGCTCGTCACGGCCAGCTGCCTTCTCCTCACCTCCATCCCCTACTTCTTCTTTCCACGCAGCATGCCAAGAGAAAAGAGTGTAAATAACACAGAGATGTTGTTTAGTACATTTATAATCCATAAGCAGTGATGGATTTAAATGCTTTAATATTAGTTGATTCTGTCTTTATCATGGTGATGGGTTAAAAGCAGAGGCTAAGTTTCGTTCTATCCTCGTGGTTCAATAACAATAGAGACCATAAAATAAATTTAAAAAAATAAACTTGAAAAAAGTTTGGGATACAAGCGTTTGCCGACATCTGCTGGGGAACCAGTAGTATTACAAGTATATTGAGGTTATGCTTAGACGTTAAGGCGGGAAAATAAATAATTTCCTGTATCTCAATAACAAACTTAGACCTGAGGTCCTTGTAGACATTCCCGTTAAGAGATAAAGATTAGTTTATTTCTTTTGAGATTTTCTCCTTCTTCAGTTTACTGAACCACATTCTAGTTTTATCTTTGACCTATAAAAAATATGTAAATAATATGAGACCTGATTTCCCAGTCAAATTCCCTGTTATTAACGAGAAGGCCTTTTGAAAGCGACAGCAGTCCTGGTGACACAGACATGACCTCAGTCCTAGGTAAATGTTGTATTTTAATATATACTTTGCATTTAAGACAGAATCTGATCAATTCTATCACAGTTTACCCATTCACTACAGTGTGTTGTAAAAATGTAATTTGTGTGGAAAAAATATATTAGTTATAATTAATTGTATATTAATTACTATATATTGAAACATATTATAATATATTATTACATATATAATATTTAATACATACAAATTAGTATGTGTTTAATGAAAATATTAAATGAATAAAAATAAAAAGACTTTTGGACTAGAATACAAATGAATCCTTACATGTAAGTGTGGGTATATTTACATTGCATACAGAAATACAATATTTTTTCAGAACTAATTTTTATTAGTTCTGAAAAAATATTGTATTTATTATATTTATATACAGAGAACAAAATCAGTAGTTCGTTCAAGCCCAATAGTTCGTTTCACGGCCTTTCACTGTTATATAATAAGTCTTGACTCATTTATTTCCGGAACTTTCCAGGTGGTTGTAAATGACATGGACACAGGTGCGGACTTCAAGAAGCCAGACGTCTCTTTACTTGAATTCTTGCAAAGTAAGTTTTCCATCTCAGAATTCGACTGATTGGATAACATAGATTTCTCTAACACATAAATGAAAACAACATTCCGGCTAGCATACTGATTAGCATGTTTGCTTCTGATTTGATGTCCCGTCAGTGTTTCCCAGAATGTTCTTGCGCCTCCTGTTGAGCCCTCTCTTCCTAATGCTGGTCCTGGCTCAGTGCTGCTTCTCCTCGGTGATCGCGGGACTGTCTACGTTCCTGCCCAAGTATCTCGAGCGGCAATACAGCGCCTCGCTGGCTGACAGCGGCCTGCTCGTAGGTAAGGAGTGAAAGGAGGTCAATGTGAAAGATGGGGATTTAGGAGAAGAATATCCCAAAATAAATCACATTAAATCTTGGATTTAGGTCACATGGCAGCCCATAATTCTTGTCATAATGCAAACCATAGTGAAGTACTGTTATTATAAACCATCCCGAGGAGATCTGAAACAGTCTTTTAAAGTACTCTAATGGACACTCTGAAGAGAATCAGTTACAATACATGATGGGTTTGGGGTTTTTTTTTCCACGGAGAGTATATTAGGTTTGTGCTGTCATCTTTACTTACATTTACAGTTTATTTGAGTTTCCAACATTCTATTAATTTCCAGGCTACTTTCTGTCATGAACTGAAATAAAGATGCTTGTTTGAATCATGAACCCCCCCATCCACCCCAGGGGGCATCTTTAATATTAATTTGGAAAAAACGCTAGGCCACATGTGTCAAACTCAAGGCTCGGGGGCCAAAATGTGGCCCGCCAAGCCGTTTTATGTGGCCCGCGGGAGCTTAAGATGCATTTAGTAAAGTCCATGCAGCAGGGTTTCTTAACCTAAGAAATTAAAAGTTTTTTTTATTACACAGCAAAGAACAATATTTGTAGCTTGAATAAATAATAATCAATTGCAGAAACATGTATTAGTCTGTTATGGAGGAGCTACATCTATACCAGTGGTCCCCAACCTTTTGTGTTCCAATGACTGGTCAGCTAGTAACGCCCTTACCCATGACCTATAATTTTAAAATATTGACAAATTATCTTTAAATAAAGAAAGTAAATGGATATGACTGGATTTTCTTTGAATAAAGTAAATTAGTAAAAATTAAGTACATTTTTTACTGTGTCCCTCTGCGGCCCGGTACCACATAACCTATGGACTGGTACTGGTCCGCGAACCGGGGGTTGTAAACCCCTGATCTATCCATTTACAACCGGTCCTTCAAGGGGAACTGTGTTGCTGATGTGGCCCCCTGGTGGAAATGAGTTTGACACCGTCAATGTTTCCTAGGTGCTTTGAATCTGCCAGCGGTGGCTGTGGGGATGTTGGTCGGCGGGGTCATCATGAAGAGAGCGGGACTTTCTTTGAAGACCATACCCCGATTCTCTGTGGTCATGCTGGTCATCTCCACGACCCTCTGTATCCCTCTCTTCTTCATGGGCTGTCCCACCCAGAAGGTCTCAGAGGTCAATCATCACCAAACAGACCAAAATGGGTGAGTTAAAGAAGCAGCGGCGATTGAACTGTCTGTTACAGGAAGTAATGGGATCAAGTTCGGTTTAGTTGAAAATGGCAGAAAATAATGGTGATCTGTTTTGAAGGTGACATCCTTAAATGTCTTCACAGGTAAAATAGACTCGGTTTACTGCCATTATGAAGCAAATAAAGCAGAGAATTAATTAATGAGATAGGATAATTATGTAAGTGATTTAGTGTTTGGTGTAAAAATATATCTGTATAACCAGAAACTCCTTCAGTTCATGGATTCCGCCCCATGTCAGATTTTAATTTTATTTCTGCACTAGACATTTAGTAAAGGTTTTGTCACCAATTTTATCAGGATTTCTACTAACTAAACGAATCTAGACTCATGTACATTTTATTGTTTATACTGCACAAACCTCAATGTTTTTTGGAAAATGTATGTAAAAAAAATGCAATATGTGTCTAGTTGTTACTAATTTTAGGTGGAATTAATTAAAAAAAAAAACCTCCACAAAGGATTAAATTACTTACTGACACTCTGAAACTCTGTATCCACCTCCGTGCCCTGCAGGTCACTCCCATCGTGTTACTCCAACTGTTCGTGTTCTACTAGTGCCTTCAACCCAGTTTGTGGTTCAGATGACGTGGAGTACATTTCACCGTGTCGTGCAGGTTGTACCAACTTCACCAAAGACCCCAAATCCCAAAGGATTCAAGTAAGTGTTCCCAGTTTGGAGCAGTGTGTGTATATATGTATATATATATATGTATATATATATATGTATATATATATATGTAATTTATTTATATACATATATGTATCTATATATATATATGTATTTAAGGCCTGTCCAACGTCTTAAAAATGTTAATGTTAATATTTAAAAATATTTTAAATTGTGATTAGTCGTGATTAATCACATTGTTGTGCAAAATCCAATAATCAATCAATAAAGCTTAATGCCACTGCCAGGGCGTTATAAAAATCATGCCCACAAAATCCTGAGCCACAATCATCATGACATAGTAAATCAAATGAATTTTTTTCTCATCTTTTTTTATTAGAAAATAAATCTGTTATTTCATTTTTATTTTTATTTTTTTTTTGTGTTGCAGATGTATACGAACTGCCAGTGTGTTTCTGGGAGCCAGATCCACGCCCTCCCTTCTCCCTGTCCAAACAGCTGCCCTCATTTACTTCTCCCTGCCATAATCGTCATCTCTCTGGCTTCACTAGTTGCGAGTTTCACTCATAACCCCCTGTATATTATGGTTCTCAGGTAAGGCCAAACCAAAAGCGTCAGTTTTTATATGAATGTTTGTTTTCAATTATAACTGTGTACAGAGTCGGCCAACGTTTATCTTTTCTCTACTTTATTGTGGTTTTGTTAATAAAACCCTAATCTTACTACACGATCGTTATCTCTTTTTCGTGGAACTTTGTAATGTTTTAAACACAGTCACAACATCCACAACGTCAGACGGTGACTGATGACTGTGTTAAAACAATGATAAGTGAATAGACACTGGAATTATTGCACGCACGGTGTGGTAAAATATAGTATATTGAAATGTTTCATCTCATTAATATTCACAGATTGATTAACCTGATTAATTTGAATTGGTATTTATGATTATATGGCTTAACCTTTAACTGTTGACCAACTAAAAATGAAAATATTGACCTTTTTGTAACATGTTTTTTTT